CAATCTGACAGACTTGGTTTCCATTTCATCAGAAATTGGTTGTTAAAATCAAGTTTGCTTCTTTAATGCTGTTATTCTTCACATTTAAAAGATGCCACTAAAGGCTTTCTGAAAAATAAAATTTCATGCCTCGTTCTTTGAGCTAATAAATATTAGATCAAACTGTAGGCTAAGCTTTCTATTTATCCAACAGCTGTAGATTTGTTTTCTTGGCACCCTTGTATGTAGGTATTGGCTGATAATATAAAGTTACCTTGTAGACTCGTAAAAGGCAGTCATTACACTGGGGTTGAGGATGATGCTGTAAACATGTTAAAGCTGGAGCATGAAAGGTAGTAGTTTGTACTTATTTTTGAATCAATCTCTGACCTCTTCAGTTCTGATGTTTTGTTTCATTGCCTTCAGGGATTTTTTGGTTGATCTCATGGCAGCTCCTGGGACACTTATACCTGCTGATGTTTTCAGTGCAAAGGATACCGCTTTGAAGTCATATAATCCATCACTAAGCAAAATCCTGACTATTCAGTTTTCTGATGATGTTGGAGGTGTTCACCCGAGAGCCAAATTAAATGGTGAAGGCAGTAGCCAAAGTTCTGCAATTAATGGCGGTTTTCCCTCAGATAGGGGGATCAAGTTCAAAAAACACAGAATACTTATATTCATTCTCAGGACCAAGTGGTGACTCTGCTGTTGTCACTTCCATAATATCTAACAAAATGTCCCCTAATCAGTTGGATCATCTTCCTTCTACTGTAATTGGAGCTTCACTTTATAAAGGGAGTCGTGGGACCAATCCTACAGTTGACAGTGCAAGGATGAACCTCAATGAGGTTCCATACAGTCAGAATAGTAAGGATGACTCTAAAAACCTTTTTGCAGATCTTAATCCTTTCCAGATAAAAGGGACAGATAAAACTTACCTGCAGAACAAATCTACCGAAAGCAAAGTTGATGACCTTCAAAGACAAAAAATGAATATTGTCACCAGTCGCCCCCCTGTCCCATTACGGAAGAATCAGCCCACTTACAATGAGATCCCTAAGAAAAAGGGAGTACAATTATGTGGATGGTCTATTTCCCAAAATCAATCGTGAGTCTTATGAGTTCCATCAATCAGCATCAGCTTTAACCAGCTCAACAAAATCTGAGAAGGTCCATCCTCATGGTTTCAAGTTATCGGGTGATTCCAATCTCCCCAATAATGATAATAAATCTAGGGATCGTTTGTCTGACATGGGACAATCTTTGACTTCTACTACTGGTCAGTTCAATAACGCACCAATGGTTCAGGATGTGAGCACAAACTATAATGAAGAAAAATCCAATGGATGGCAGGATGTGCAAAATAACACTGTGGATATGGTTAAAGATCAGGAAAGTAATGAAGTGCATTTACATGATCACAGAAAAGCCAAACCTGATAAATGTATGGGGAAAAATCTGAAAATGAAGAATCCTGAAAGTCCTAGGTCACCAGTTGATTGCATAACAGAAAGGGTTGATCAACTCTTTGATGATGTAGATGTGGGTGATTTTGAAATTGCATGGGAAGACTTGCTTATTGGTGAAAGAATTGGACTGGGTAAGGCATATGATCTATTCTCTATTAGGTTTGGAAATCATGGTTTTGCAGAGATGGATTTTT